CTGAAATGTGAGCGCACCTTTTGGAATCCATTGTGTTATTTGGAAAACCCCAGAGTTATTTTAGGATGTGAATTGTTTCTTGAACCACCAGTAGAAAAACACTGAGAAATGCGCACCTTGCCAATTATCGTACCCTGCCCTTGTGCGAGTAACACTCATTTGAAATACCTCATGGCTTGCTTTGAATGTTTGTTAACCCATGTTATTAAGTACTTTAGTAATTCAGAGAAGCTGTATGCTGGACAGATTATTAAACTTAATGTTAAAGCTGATGAGAAGCAAAGTGAAGAAAGGTAATTGGACCCCTCCAGCACTGTTGTCACGTGGCAGTGACGTTGCCTTGCTAAAGTAAATCTTAAAATGCTTGTGACTAAATAGTAGTGTCCTTTTTTTTTTTTCAGTTCTGGAATCCTCTTTATGTTTCAAGAGAAAGCATGATTTTTTTGATGTTTTTTTTTCCTCTAGTGTTATGTTGAGGTGACTTCCTCATGTGGAATTTCCCACCTGCTCTTAGCTCAGTGGATGAACAGGAGCGGAGTTGACTGAAAAGCAGAGTAAAGGACAGAAAGCTTTATGGGTGGGTGAGTTCCAGAACAGGAGGTCTTAATGTCTATCTAGATACCAGTATGCGTCTCTCTTATAATTCTGAGCTCTAAACCCACTTTTAGTTTGAGGGCCTTTCAGCCTAAGGCCTTGGCTCTCCATACAAATCATTCCTGTCACATGCTGAATGCTTTATCATAAAATTAAACGCCTTCTTTCTAACACTAACTTTTCTTTGAGGACTTGCTTTTAGAATCTAACCCATAGTACGATACTGACATGAAGTAAACTCTGAGATATAAATCTGGCAAGTAGTTGATGCATCGTTTAAAAAGGGTTTGTTGGTGGGGTGTTTTTTTTTTTTTTAGTAAGACAAATCCTTTTAAGTCTATATTTGTAACACATGAACTATACGTCATATAAAAAACTTAACAGGCTTCGGTCAGTTTGCTCCTTATTCTACCAAATACCATTGTGAGAGAGGTTTTTTTAGGTAGTCTATGCATGAAGGAGCAAAGTAGAGCTTGTTAAACAGCTGATTCTCAACAAAGGGAAACCGAACCTTAGTTACCTTTTTTTTTTTTTCCAGGAATTTATATCTATCCTTACCTTTAATGAATCTAAAGGAAAGTTCTTGGCGACAGAGGGAATTTTTAATTCAGTGTTCGTTAGCAGCGTTGCTTTAAAATAAATGTAATCCCCTCATTAACTCAAAGCATGGATTTCCTCCAGAAGTCCTAGAGTTGCCTATTTATGTGCAGAATGTGTATGTGAGTTGGGTTTTGCTGGTATATTAAAAATGTAATTATTCAGTAATTTATGAAGATGCTATTCCGTGACTAATTGTATGCTCTAGGAAATATGCATTTGTTTGCTGCAAGTTTGTGCTTTGTGGAGTTAGAACGGACAGATGTGGATTTCTCCTCTGTGTCCAAGATAAGCACCAGGCCCTGCTTGGGAATGCAAGGGCTCTGTTCACACTGCAGACAATATGGTTCCCCTGACTCTGTGCGTGGACCAAACGTAACCCCCTTTTATCCGGAATAACATAAAACGCAAAGTTCAGAGTATGCAAAGGAAAGTAGGACAGGTAAATTTACTTCCCCCTCAGATACAACAGAATACCAACCACCGTGGTATCTTTGCGCCAAGTAACTTCCAGCTGACATTTGATATCTTACTAGAAAGGTCAGCAGCTCACAATATACCAAGTCCTTTTTCCTATGCTGTTCCGTTCTGTGACGTGTAGATATGAAGGGCACGTTTATCTTCAAGATACGTTAAACAGCTGCAAAACTGAAATGGCAAAACTTTCTTTTTAGACTGGCCAAATGATGTGCTCGGATGTGTTTGAGACTGTTTCATGACACAGCACTTGTATTCTAATTAGAAGCCCAGGTTTGCAAGCAGGATGGGAGAATTGTAGTCCTTTGCAAATGTCAGAGGAGAAATGATGATATTGCTTTTCAGGCTAAAACTTGCTTTGAACGAGGCACTGCTGTCGGTGAAGATGAGAGCCCTGAGATACCTTAGTGCGGTTAATATCAAACTTGAGTACTTCATGACACCCTGTGGGCCAACTGATGGAGGCCTTGTCAGCAGAGGCTGTTGAGCTCCAGGCTATTTACTGTATTGGGGTGATTTAAAAAAAAAAACAAACCCTGTCTTGTTTTGCATATTGTTTCTTCTTCTTCTTTTTTTTTTTTTAATACACAAAAAGGTATGGCTAAAGCCATTGCCTTTTTTTTGTCTACCTAGCTGAAATGCAGGCATCTCTGGGGTGAAGCATATCTCTATCACACGTATGCAATTGAAGTGCATCATAATCAAAGCAAATGACAGTGGATAAATATTATTGTCCCCAGCCAACAGAAGAGTCATTCTGCGTCAGGGTTTAAAGAACTGGCCGTAACTTCAGCACACAGAACACAGCAATTAGAATCCCCAAAGCTAATCTTGACTCAAAGTCCTGAGCTAGAGAAAAGAGATGTGGCAGGCTGCAAACACCTTTCAAGCAATTTCTTACTCTTAAACAAGTCTTCCTTTTCTCCGTTCCTTGCAACCCTGCAAATGTGTTTGAGAATATATATGAAAATCTCATAGTCCACTTGTAAGGCAAATAAATACTCTCTGGCAGCGTGGGGAGTATTGGGAACTGGGCAGTTCTGGCAGAGTGTGTGGGGTCTGGAGGTCTTGGACTTGGACTGTAATAGTATGATTGAAAGTGCTTGTGTATCTTGAGCCCTTTTTTTTTCTTTTTTTTTTTTTTCCTTCTTCAAGTAATGTATTACTTGAAGATTAAACTTGAAATATAACCTAGTAGACTAATCTGCCGTTCAGAAGAAATGAAAGACGTGACCCAGCTGGTCACTTTTTGTCCTGTGATTCTAAAGACTGCTACTCGAGATGAGTATAGTAGCTGACTCTTTATGTCCTCTGATGTTTTCTGCATGAATTAGAAGTCCAAGAAGGGAGCATGGACCAGCCCAGTGGAAGGAGTTTCATGCAAGTTCTTTGTGAGAAATACAGCCCCGAGAACTTCCCGTATCGTCGTGGTCCTGGCATGGGAGTACATGTCCCAGCAACTCCCCAGGGTTCACCTATGAAAGGTAGGGTTCCTATCTTTGTGAGCGAATGTGAGTTTTTGGGTGGGGTCAGTTCCTCTGTTTTTCTTGCTCGTGTTGAAGGAAAAATCCCACTTAATTGCCCCAAAGAGAAGAGTCACGCATTTGTTACCATGTGTTTCTTACTATTCAGTTGTATATCTTGATCAAATTAGTATGCTTTGATCATTGCTAGGTTCCACGCAGTTGGACAGCATTGCTCACAGCAGCAGCCCAAAATTATGTAGGGTTGTAGAGCAGGGTTCAGGTTGCTGGGGTCAAGTATCCCCTGAATTCTAGTCTTTCTGACTTGTCTCCTGACCTTCCTTCTTAACCCTGGGAAGCCTACTTTGCATTTATTTTCTTCTTCTCTTAGATGCAGATGATTGCCTGTTTCAAGTGTTAAAGGTTTAATTAACATTGCTTGCAAATAAAATGAAATGTAAAAATTGTTGGGAGAGGAAAGAGTCAAGAGACTGGCATCTAACAAAGAGGGAAAGTTGGTCCAGTGACTGAACTGGTTGCTGTAAAATTCAAGTAAGTTTTTCTACCCCCTTCATTGCAAGCATAACAGAATCCTGTTGAACAAAGATGGGAAAAGGCCCTGTACAATGCTGACTTTTTGTGAAGGGCTCAGCAGTCCAGTTTTCCTCAGACTAGTGACGCTAACTATTTTACTAGTAGCTGTAACAACATGTATTTTTGCAGAGATGGCTTAACAAACGCACAAAATTTGATTCAAGGCCTAGGTAGCTCCATATGCCAATGTTATTACGTAACACCATCCACTTAGGTTAATGCCTGCAGGTTCAGAGGGAGTCAAGTGTACACCGGACTGGGCCGTTCATCAAGCCAAGCAATGAGTCATTTAATCTCCACATAAGCTTTTTTTGCAAAGTCAGTTTGGATCAAGTCGGTTTGTGGTTTACTTTAGCTCACTTTTCAAGGTGCTGAATGATCTCTGAGCAAGCTTATAGTGACATTGTGGAGAAATGCCTCTTTCTCCCTTGCTTCTGCCCATATTGCCTTGAGACAGTTTCAAGACAGATGTGTGTCTGAAGCGCTCTGCTGTTCATGTGTGTCCTTCGGCCTCCTTCAATGCAAAATCCATGTCACTATTTCCAGCTTTTTACGGTGAATCTATCTGACACCCTTTAGTCTTCCCTCAAGCTCTGGTGTTAGCATTTGGTTCTCCATCCCACCAGAACCACTGCTTCTTTGTATAACCTTTTGCCTATCTTGAGTTGTAACTATAGTTTAAATTTCCGTCAGGTCAATTTGTATCATAACCAGCCCCAAAGGGGAAAATAGCCATAGAAGTTAGCTGGATGAATTTACAGTAACTGAGTTTGACAGAGGAGGAAAAGTGCCCGAGTTCAGTTGAGGATAAAATGTACTGCCTGTCACTCAAAATTAACAAGAACAGAAGATCGCCTTAATGGAATATTCAGTCAACCCCCTTTCTCCTGTATATGAGCGCACACTTACCTGACAAGAGGGCCCTTGTTTATAAGTCTTAAAATGTGACTTAGAAGTACCTCATGAATAATTTCCAAAGTACAGCACTGTCCTTTAAAGAAGCCTAATGCTAATAAACTTGAAAATCAAATTACTCTGATATTGTCTGCCATTGCAATACCTTTCTAGTCATGCAATTGTCAAGTACTAAGGAGAGAGAAAAAGGACTAGCTTTTTAGGAAGAAGTTTGTTGTTAAATTTTAGTGGGTTTTGGTACTCAACAGAGGTGAGAGAGAGAGCTGTATTCTATTTGAGAGACTGTAAGATCGATGCCATGCTTTGTCTAAACATGGACTTCTTGTGTCGAAATGGTTTTCCGTTACAAATCCATCGCTATTTACTTTGTCATGGTTATGCATTTGCAAATCAGGTCGTGACCGTGATCCAAGTCCTTGCCTGTGAAATAGCTGCACGAATGTTTACCTGGATGAGAAGGAACTAGAGCAAAACTCAAGCAGAGGCATAAAAGGCAGAGCAAACAACTCTAAGGTCATAAGGTCATAAGAGCATTAAACGTTCTTTTTTGTTGAAAAGGAAAAGCTTAGAAGAGAAACGTTTAAATATTTCCATGCTGTTCCTAACCAAAAACGAGCTAAGTCCAAGAGGATAAGGGAGTCTGACTCAGTACAGCTAACAGTCCACGTAGACCCATATTCTATCTCCAGTAGCAGATGCAGTGTAAGTTCTGGCAAGCGCTGATACGACACGGACTATAAAGTACAAGTGTCTGGCCTGTCCTTGCTGGGATGTGGAAAGAAATGCGTGTAGTAAATGAGCATTGATAGAGAATGATACTTCACATTTAGAGGAAAGGCGGCTTCCTGATTTATGTCAGACACTTGTTGTAAAATACATTTATATCCAGATATCCCTTGAATATGTATAAATTGCGGTAATTATTGTTGGATCCTTTTATTTTGCTGGATTTCGTGCTTATCTTCTTTGTGCTTGTTGAGACCAAAGGGTAATCTTCCGTAACTAAGGAATGCAATGCTGACTGGAGGGCATCTTTTTTCCCCTGTTTCAGATCGCCTCAACCTTCCAAGCGTGCTGGTATTGAACAGCTGCGGCATAACCTGTGCAGGGGATGAGAATGAAATCGCCGCCTTCTGTGCTCATGTGTCTGAGCTAGATCTTTCTGACAATAAATTGGAAGATTGGCATGAGGTAAAAAAGGCTTTCTGAATAACTTTGATGGCTGCTACTATGACAGTGAATGCGTGCAGGTTGTAAGAGCATTATGCTCATTTAAGGAGATGCATGTTTCAGTTTTTTTGGTGGGTTCTTTCTCATCTTTGAAGTTGATGTTTATTTACTTTGACAACTGCAGAGCGATAATCATGATGAATATAATCCATTTGAGCACTTGACTCTATTTTCCTAGGGACTTACGGTCTTGTCCTAAAGGTAACAAATGTATTTTCTATCGTGCAAAGCACTGGAACTGTCATTTCGAACGTCAAGAGGTTAATGAGTGGTGCAGTTTGTTAACAGAGTAAGAAGCAGGAGGCTCTTAAAAACTACCAGCGATGGGGATTCCAGATTCCTAGGTAGTCTCATCCCATGCTTAGCTAACTTTGTAGTCTGAACTATCTACCTGAAGTCTTCCATGCTCCAAATGAAGCTAATCACACCCTGCCCTACCCACAGTAGGTGTGGAGGACCATTCCTTACCGTCCCCTTTATAACAGCTTTTTATACTATGAAGAACTTCAATGTCTCCTTCTGTTCTTCTTTTTGTATAGTACTGAAAAAATCTGGTTCTTCCAGTTATTCATTTTAGGCCATGTTTTCTAGACTCCTTACTGTTTCTGTTGTTATGTTGTCCCTCCAGTTTGTCTAGTTCTTTCCTAAAGCATAGTGCTCAAAACATGACATCAGCTAAGGTGAGGCTTTGTTAGTGCAAAATGCAGCTGGGTAATGATCTCCAGCGTCATGTGTGCAACACTTCAGTTAAGCCCCATGAGACTTTTGCATTTGGGCCCCACTGTTGGCTTGGGTATTTCATGCCCTATCTCCTCTCATCCCAAACACCTTGTGGAATGGAGCTCTCTAGCCAGTTGTTTTCTGACTCGTAACTGTTTTCTGGACGAAATTCTTTTTCCCCAGATGTTCGTACTTTGACCTTCCCTGAACCAAGCTTCATCTTATATGTTCCGCATGGCTTCGCTTTTGATTCTAGTCTTGTGGCCCAAAGGGATGGCAGCCCTTCCCACCTTAGAATCACCACACATTAAGAGAACACATAGTTTTTGATTATTCTGGTTATTAAGAATGTAACAAGTAGCGCTCTGCTAAAACACGTTCTTGGTACGTCTGCCAGTTTCCTTTTGAACTCTTAACTTTATAATCATTTCCCAGAGATTGTAACTCACCAGTTTGCCTGTGAGACTGGCGTGTGGACCGGGTCGGAAGCTGTCGTTCCATTATATCTAATACTTCTTCTCACTGAATCAGTTATCCAGGCGAAGAGGAAAATCAGATTGATGTGATGTGTTCCTTACAAATGGATATTGGCTAGCTGTTCTTCTCACTTAATCTTCTTTTAGGTGCCTACAAATTGATCGTTTATTAACCTGTTGCAGTATTTTTCTGCATATAGGTGATATTCAGATTAGTACCCACCAATCAGACAATCCATTATGTATCCGTACTCCAGAGGTACACACTGTCTGTATCTGGCTTTCTTTTCTATTTGTTGATCTGTCTTCCGTACTTCTCTGCTAATTTGCCCTCAGGTACACATCTGGTACACACAAAAAGAGAAAGTAACCCCAAGCACAGTTGTCTGAACATTGGGAGTCATTGTCAGAAAGTTGCTCTTTTCAGAATAATGGAATCTAATAAGGAATTCATTATATGTGTACAATGAGCTTCTGTTTGTCTTTTACATTGGGCAAGATGGAGTGGTCTCTGACTAGTGAGGAACAGTAGAAAGCTGAGCAAGCGATCACTGTGACAGCCATGAACTCAAGGGACATACCAATTATCTCCTGGTCAAAAGAGGGCTACAGCAGTTTTCTAAGATACTAGCTCCTTTAACGTGCTACTACTTAAGCATGGTGTTCAGGTGGATTTTGTGACCTCTCCTAAGAGACCTGTTTTCTCTTATCAAGCTGCTCTAGGAGTGTAATTAAATGAACTGTTGAGGTGAATGAGCAATTAACCAATCAATCTAGATCAGTGAATACCTGGAGTATGAATTACAGATAGTTATCAAGAAGTCATCTTTTTTTTTTTCCCCTCCATATAATTTCCTCGTCTCACGATCATTCTGAAGGGCCTCCTTTTAGAAGATAGGATATTATTGCATGAGGTCGGATTACTGCTTGATATGCATTTCTTCCTTTCTCTGTTTTTTCTCTCCATGCCTAGGTCAGTAAAATCGTGTCCAACGTTCCCCACTTGGAGTTTCTAAACTTGAGTTCCAATCCTCTCAGTTTGTCCGTTTTAGAGAGAAGGTGTGCTGGGTCTTTCGCTGGTGTTCGCAAACTTGTACTGAACAACAGCAAAGCCTCCTGGGAAACAGTCCACACAATCCTGCAGGAATTACCAGAGTAAGCTGGAGAGTTGGGCGCAGAAAGGGGTGCTCGCTGCATGCAGGTCAAGGCTGTCGTATCAAATCCTGTGGTGGGGATGACTGAGAGGGGTGAGGAAGTGAACATGATGTGTAGAGGAAAAGGGGGTTTGTTCTTTGGGAACTAGGAAACTAGCCAGTTGAATGTGTCACGTTGTCTTTAAAGCTGAACTTGTTTGGCTCTGCGAAGCCATAGGCCCTTCTTTCACATCTAAACACTAGCACTGAGATATGGATAATGATCCTGACAATTCAGGAGGTGACATGCATCCCTCTGAGTCACTGCCAAATGAATGGCACACTGCACACCTGTAATAATAGCTCTTGGATGGGATGTAAATTAGAGGGTCTGGCCACTTGTCAAGAAATATTTCCTTATGCTTTTTTGTGAGAATTGGTTGGTTTCTGTGGCTTGGCCATGGTCCACCTTGGCAGTGGCATTCTGCTTCCCTAAACTTCCTCGGTGGCTTCCATTTGATACCGGATTCCTCTTTATACCACTTCATAAGCAGAGAAGATTACAACGGTATATCCCACTTGGCAAGTGCACGCTTAACTGGGATTAGGGGAGCCAATTCAGTTGTCTGCAAACTTGCCAGGACCTGTTCTCTAGTTAATGGGAGTCTTTGGCTGAACCAGTAATATGGATAAACAGGATTATCTGTGTTGTGTACAAATACCTTTTTAAATTAAATGGTGAACATGGACTATTACAGCAGGTACCGATGACTATTGGAGTTGGGTCAGTGGCTTGTTGGGCACAAATGTGTAATGCTTTTCTGAGCAATATGTTACAAAATACCGACAGAAGTATTTTGAGGGTTAGGGAAATGCTTAGAGGTATTTTTCATCTGTGGAGGAGGTTTCTGAATGGGAGTGAAGTAGAAACCTGATTGAAACCCTCCATTTTAACTGTTCAAAGGCCTTCTCTGCACTGAGGTTTCAAATCACATAAGAGCCTTTGCAGACAGCTGCGTTAAAATCGCATATGCAGGTCCCTCTACTTAAGGCGATGACCATTTCAGGAGGAATATTGAGATGATAATATGATCTTTCTTCCTCTGTGCAGCTTGGAGGAGCTCTTCCTGTGCCTTAATGACTACGAAACAGTGTCTTGTTCTCCAGTTTGCTGTCAGTCTCTCAAGTTACTCCACATAACTGACAATAATCTTCAAGACTGGACTGAAATTCGAAAGTTGGGAATTATGTTCCCGTCACTGGACACACTTATTCTGGCTAACAACAACCTAACAACCATTGAAGAGTCAGAAGATTCTCTAGCAAGGCTGTTCCCAAACCTGCGATCCATCAATTTGCACAAATCAGGTGAGAGCCTGAAAGCTGTATGCTTTTTGTGCTCAGTGCAAGTGACATACAGGTGCTTCTGAGCTCATCGCTTCTGTTATTCTTCCTCTTTGAAATAACGTTTATGAAGTTGTTCCGTGTCCTGATCAGGTACTTGTTGTTTCTGCTTGTATGGTAGCTGTTGTGAATTCTTTTTTAGGGAAAGCTGCTGCACTCCAAAATTCTGCCCTGTTAAATACAAAGAGATGTGCCTTGTCCAAACTCACTGCTCTCTTTGCAGGCGGTTTTAGCTTACTGGCGATCAGGGATGAGCAGAAGAGAATGGCTTTTTATTCACAGTGTAGCAGAGTGGCATGACCAAAGGATGAGCATATTTTTCGATCAGAGCAGGTGCCATTGGTGACATCAGTGTCTTCAGATGTAGCTTTCTCCCAGCTACAGGAACTTTCTGGCTGTTTCAGACCAAGGTGATTCAGAGAGTTACTGGTCACTCTTAGCTGTCACTGCAAGCACCGCAGAGAAAAGGTGGAAGAGTTGTGCTTCTGTATCACAAGCTCCTAGTTAACTTGTCTGTCAACGTGGCTGTGGCTGACAACGTTACCCACACTTTAGTTAGAGGTCACCTTGACGGAGATGTTTTGGCTGCTATGGAAGAAGGAAGCTCTCTCTGCCCACCTTGCCCACGGTGCCGTGCTAGTTGTAGGAATTTTGATTTGGCTCTGGAAACAGCCTGTTCTTCTGCGTTGCTATTGCAACACAAGGTTTGGGCTTGAACTTATGGTTTCATGGCAGGCTTAGCTTAAACAAGACCTCTAATTGTGTTTGAATGGTAATTTTTCTGTTTTTTCATGTTTTCTGTACTGTAGAGGTGAAGGTGTTGATTGGTTTTCTTACAGAATGGTTTTCTAACTTCCTTTGTTAGTTTAAGCATCTGGAACATTCAGCTGAAAAGCATTACATTAAACTTTTCTGCAATCACAGGAAAAGGAAGCAAAGACGATTAGTGTTGGTATCACTACATAATCAGAGTTGTACTGTTGCTTGATCTTCCATTTTTTTATTTTACTCTCTCTGCTTGCCTTGTTATCCCGCATGTCAGGTCTTGAGGGAGCTAAAATTGAGTTACAGCCCTTTTCATTACATGGTGGGATGGCTCAGGGGACTTGGTTTACCTGTGGATTGTGAGTTCAGACTGGACCCAGGCTGGTTACATGTGCAAGTTAAAGCCATTTAATGGCTATTTAGTGACCCCTAGAATGACGTACATCCTGGTGACTTTAATACTACTTAAGGCAGTGCCTCTTTATAGAGGCAGCTGTCCGAACTGATGCTAATTGGTATTCAGCAGTGAAGCCAAGGACTGAATGGCCCATAAAAACTAAACTCCCTATTCAGCCATAGAGATCATCCTTCTAGAGTTAAACAACAGCATGAGAGAACTTAAACTGCCACCTCTTGTAAGCAAATGAAGGAGACTTGTTGTGGAATTTCATGAGCAATAAGTTGACTTCTGCACGCAACTTCAGTTGACGCTGCCCTGTCATGTATGTTCTTTGGCTATGTCTGATGTTCTTTGATGTATTATGTATTCACTGTGTTTGTTTAAGCAAGTCCTTTCTTCCAAGCAGGTCTGCATTGCTGGGAAGACATCGACAAGCTAAATTCTTTTCCCAAGCTTGAGGAAGTAAAATTGCTAGGAATCCCTTTGCTGCAGTCCTACACCACTGAGGAGCGCAGGAAGCTGCTAATAGCCAGGTCTGTTTGTTTGGTCTGCTCAGCAGATGTATTAAATGACAATGAATGGCTGGGAGTGGGTAATCGGAGGAAAAGGCTGTTATGAGACGCTATTCTGTATGAATCACAGCTCAGAAAGACTTGGTATTTTTCCTGTGTGGGAAAGAAGGGGAGAAGTGGAAATGTTCAGTCTAAATTATCTACTTTTCAGAGAATTTTTTTGAGTCTTATACATCTGTGTGCATGCGAGGCATGTTTGTGCTCAAAGGATAATGCTTAGTTTTAAATCTGTTTGGAGAAACTGCATGGAGCTTGCCCTCTTGAGAGAGGGGACAGAGGCTTAAAAAATACCTGGCATGATTCTCCTGATGACGGAGTTGCGGGACGTAGCTTTTGGCTGTGACTGTCTTGTTGATCACCCTGGCTGCGTTTCTGTTCTTGCTGACCGTGTTTCTTGGGGTCTACAAGCAGGTTGCCGTCTATTGTCAAGCTTAACGGAAGCATCGTTGCCGATGGGGAACGAGAGGACTCGGAACGATTCTTCATCCGCTATTACATGGAGTTTCCAGAGGAGGAAGTCCCATTCAGGTATGAGTTCTTTGTCCTGAAATGCAGAGCAGGCACGAAAGGGAAGCAGGGCAAAATAAAAGGTGCCTGAAGAGATGACGTTACATGGGAAATTGGGGCTAGCTGTTCCATAAAAAACATTCTTTGCCTTCCTCCTTGTCTTGTCTTCCTCATTCTGTATTAGTTCATCTCGTTCATGTCGAGATTGTTGTCCGATGACTTGCTGAATCGCTTCTGAGTCATATCCAGCCTTAAAGTGTTCACGTCAAGTGCCATTTCACAATACGACTGTTCAGTTAATGAGTGCTCCCTGGCCTCCCTGGTGGCTAGCTTCATAATCCACCTGTGTTTGGGAGTCCCCAAAAGCCAGTACAGCTCTTTCTCTCTGGTGTCGGGCCGAGACATCTAATTCTTTTGACCATCTGGCATGTGGAATGTGCCTAGTGTTAGGAAGCTGTCCCATCATTTTTAAACCCACAAATCGGAGGTCTGATGGTTTTTCTTTGCCAAAAATGTATGCCCAATGATCTGTTAATCTTAGTAAACTAATGAACTTTGACAGATGCTGTTCAGTCAGTATCTCCTCTAAGCCAGCATCTACTTACTGCTTCTTAATGGGGTGAGGAAGGATCATTGAGCATCAAGCTACTGCATTTACATGCCTTTTGCACTAGGACAACGCACTTGCCCTCATGCACTTTTCAAACAGCAAAACTTCATAATCTTTTCTTTACAGAGGGGGGTGAGAGAAGTGGGGGGGGACGGGGCATGTTCAAGGACAAACTGAGGTAGAGAGGGTTAAAGGTATGGCCTGGTAGGGATCACAAAGATGAAAATTAGAATCTGGTCAGTGTTGCCTTTAGTTTAACTCATAGGTAAAACTACCTCTGTTTTTTCAAGAGCTGTGTATTTGACCTGCCAATACAGTAAGTGCGTCAGAGGCTGAATGGGGAGTGAGACCGTGGTATTTATAGGAATGCTAACGGGTCTAGCGGGTATGGTATTTGTGAAGGCGTGCTAGGGGGTCAGTTCAGGGGTGAATGCTGCTAAAATAGTCAGGAGAACAAGACAGCTGGTGATCCCTCTGTGTCTTTTTCTGAGGACAAGACCTGGCTTGTAATTTTAGAAGCCCTTCAAGCAGAAAAATTGAAACAAACATTGGAAGGGATAGCTATGCAGCCTGGGAGTGCAGGGGAGAGGAAGGGGAAAGGGCGATGGGGACTGTGAGCTCATAGTGCTGTTCCTAAAAGGGATTATTTTCATTAACATTTTATTTCTAAGAAAACTGTTGTATGTCCCTGCGTTCATGGCTCCAGAAGGAAGCAACCTGAGCCCAGTTGTTCTAGCCGAGTCCAACTCTTGGTGAATAGGGCATGGGGTGACCTGGAAACCCTACGCAGGAGAAGGCAAGGCAGGCCCTGGCACTGAAAGCAGTGTGTGCAGTTACAAGGTAGGAGGGGGAACTAAGGTGCAAGTAACCTTGCAACCATGGTGTGCACCCTGAGCTCAAAAATGGTTCAGGCATGAGAGGGAAGCTAAATAATTATGTGTGCAGACCCTGATTTTCTTGCTGCTTGTTGCCCTGCACCTGCATCTCAAGGTATTGTGGTGACAGGTGCCTTGTGTGTACAGGAGCAATATATTGTGGAGAAGAAGATGGCCAGATGTCGCTTGAAATACTCATGAGGCTACTGTTAAGATCCCAAGCGCTGTGAACAGGCTGTGTGTGCCCACATAGTTGCATAGTACCATGAGCGACTGAGGTGCCTTTCCAGGTGGGCACTCAGGGTACTCTGGCCGTTTCATAAACTGCTATTACCTCACACACAACCCTATCATAAAGCTGGGCTGGGGAAAGAAAGATGTTGACGAACATGCTATCTCTTTATGCTGTTTCGGTAGATACAGGAGATTTACCTCCTCCGCTGATTCCTTAACCTTTAAGCAATGTTACTGCCCTCTTCTTGATCAATGGACTCTTTTTCTGTATCCCTTCGCCCATGCAGCGTTTCCGAGAGACTTGTGCAGCTCCTAAAGGGGGTTATTCTGTCCTGGAGGGGTCATGTGGCACTTGAGAATATTTTCCAGTGAGGCTGCAAACTGGCTGAGAGGGGGTTCTTAGTGCCAAGGGCCAGGTTTCACTTCCTGGACTCATATGCAGCAGTTCTTGTAAGAACCAAAATCTGACGTTCTTTGTGGAGTGAATTTTTTGTTTGTTTGCTGTTAAAACTTCCTCTGCTTTGCTCCCAGCTCTGGTATTGTCTCTCAGAAGGTGGTTTGTAATTAGAATCTAATCGGGACAAATGCATGCTGTTGCTGGGGGTACGGCATCTGCATTGCAGTGCTGTCTCAAGTGGAGGAATAAGACATATTTGTACTCGGAAGACTTACAAGTGCAAGCATCCCCCAACCCCCCCCCCAAAAAAAAAGACTGTAGATGCATGGCGTGCGATAAACAAACAGCATGCAGTCTGGTGTTAAACCTCCTCGGTTGTGTTGTATCTCTTCACAGACTACAGCTTGGAGAGATTGGAAAAGGAGTGAAACGGACAGAATAATTTCTCTCTCTGGGTGACGTGGGCTCGAAAGGAGCACTGAGCGTACAATCCAATATTGGCTGGCTTCTTGAGTGACGTCTTTGTTTCTGTGGGTTTTTAATGAGTCCTCTGCCTGTCTGGTCCGTTGTTTATTTGCAGAATATCAGAGCCACTTTTAGCTGGGCTCAGTTCTTCGGCATCCTCTCCCCTGGCAGCCAGCGTCCGTCAGGCTGCGAGGGGTGATTATGTAAGTCTCTGAGGTGCTTATTACCAGGGCGTGACAGAATCAAATGAGCGGTATGCCTTTGTCCTTATTGATTTGAGGGTATCCGGTTGTTTAGACTTCTAACTTTCCTTGCAGGTTGTGGTTAGCATGCAAGGAGTGGACTGGAAAGCTTGTTCTGCCGTTCCTTGACTTGAGGAAGTCTAAGACAATGTTGCCTGACCCTCTGCATGTTTACAGCTTGCATTTGGATAATCTTAACACATTCGCAATACTTCTCCCTCTCAGCTTACTTGAAATTTTTCCTTCTCTTTATGCTGTTCCCCCTCTCTGCACTGTTTGCTTTCATGTGTAGACTGTGCTTCAGGGAAGCGGCTGTGAACATACAGCCATTGTGGCAGGGAGTCACTGCAGCCCAGCTGTCTGCAGACTTGCTGCCTTTGCCTTGCTCTGCATGGCGTGCTGGTTCCCTCAATGCGTGAACTGGGGCAATACTTACAGTCGGCAGGTGAGAAAGCTGTTGCTGGTTTGCAGCGTGCAGAATTGGTTAGACTAAGGGAAGTCCCAAAGCGGGTTGAGGGGTTGGTGCTGCATGCAAGGTGCAGGTTTGCTCTCTCCCCCTCTCTGGCTCGCTGGTGCTGCTGAATGCGTCCTCCAGAAGGTAGCAGAAACTGCCGTGAGGAAACCCTTTCTGCCGGTGACATGTTAGCTAGCGCTCATTCTTACTGCAGGCAGTAGCCCAGTGGGTATAATATGGGGAATGCGTTTTCTCCTCTGAGAACGAATGGCTTTCTGCCTAAGCCTGATTGCATTGCCCTATCGATTGTGAGAGCAGGGCACCAGCCTGTATTGGGACGCTCTGCCCTGGAGAAGGCTCATTTTGTCCATGAAGCTAGGGAAATCCTAGTGCGTTGTGGCCCTTACCTCATTTCCCGGGCAGACAGAGGGCCTGCTGTTCTCCAGGAACGTTCCTACCTTCAGCATGAGTCCCTGGGGTCATCCGTCTTGCCAGGTCCCATCATCACTTGACAGGAGCAGTGACACAGCACTCAGCTGTGAGCATTCAGCTCTCAGAGTCAGATTGGGAACAAAAAGAGCTTTCTGTGTGGCGCACAGTGGAGAGCCTCTGAAATGTTACCTCCTCTCTGCAGCTCTCGGTCTTTGTTGTTTCAGTTGCATTGTATTGTGGGTTGACATTTTGCCACTTTCCCAGCCCGGCAGGAGAGATGCTGCCTTTCCTGATGGGAGAGAGATCGGCTGAAGGAGGCGGGAGGGGGAGAATGGCTCTCTTCCAGCATGTGGCTCCTTGGGGCTGCACCTTGTCAAGAAAATTTGGTGAACTTGGCTCTAAGGGAAAAGTCCATCGAACGTGTGGTGGAGCCATTAAAGCTAGGCCAGTAAAATTCCTGTGTCATTTTAGACTAGATATGACTGATCAGTTGGTGAAAAGTCCAGCTTTTATTCTGGCACGGTGCCTTTACGTAGAGAGCAACGTTGACCTTGCCTGAGCAGTGTGGTTTTCACTATGTGATATCAGTTCCCAAAATATGTGGCTGCTCACCTTGACAAAGGTGATCTCGGTGATGCTGTGTTCAATGCAAGTGTGGCATTTGGCAACTAGCTGGCCTCCTGAAAAATGCCAAGAATTACCTGAGAATTGGGTCAGGCAATTAAGCCACTGTTCCTGGGAATCTAGACTGAGGGATGTATCACTGGTGTTATTGCGTGTTTAATTCTGACGTGCCTTAGGGAAGTGTTTTCATTTTAGCAGGAGACTTGGACTCTTGCGAGCATAGGATCCTCTCTTATTTCCAGATCCCGCTCCAGTCACAGCTAGAGTGTCCAAAATGCTGGTAGTGAGCACTGCTGATAAGTTTTCTTCATTAGGCGATTCTGAGACCAGTTGACCTGAGCCTCTTGGGTCATTGATAGCTTCACCTTCAGTGAGATACCTCCTTGCTACTCTGCCCGCTCAGCTGCTTGATTTTTTTTGTTTTTTTCTCCTCTGTTAGAGGAGGGGAAAACAGGACTCGTACTGTTCCAGATTTCTTCCTAGTGGATGTCTGTTTCGGCTGTTTAACTTGAGTCAGGGATGAACCTTGTCTCATATGAGCAAAATATATAAGAAAGCTCCTTAAAGCGTCTTGAGATTTGGTGGCAAACGGAGAAGGAAATCTGGTTGTTTCTTTTGTCGTCCCTGTGAGGGATGCTTGTATGATGAGAGAAGCGTACTTCAGGCTTTGAACTCTAGCGCGGCAATATTCTTTACTCATGGGAGCTTCATCCTTCCTTCTCACCTTGAAGGAATTGTTAGTTAAACTGATAGATGTTTCCAGGAGAGCCATGCATGAGACATTCACTAAAATGGAGGACAGGGATCACTCAGCACTATCTGCGTTCTGGTCTTAGCTCTTGTCAAATAGTGCTGGGCTTTGCATAGATCGCACTTTGGAATCTGCACTTAACCTCTTGTAAACTAATCACTGTAATCTCCATCCAGATGTTAATTTAAACTTTGCAATCTATTACCATCCTTGGATGATTGCTGCTAAAGAATAGCAGTATTACAATGTGAAAAAGAAAGCGTTTTATGAAGAGTGCAATAGCTGTATGAGGAACCGTGTCATAACTCTGCACCTGTTCAATTTTTCAGGTATCACGAGCTGGTAACAAAGTACGGGAAGTTGGAACCTTTGGCAGTAGTGGATCTTCGGCCACAGAGCAGCGCGAAAGTTGAAGTTCACTTCAAGGATAAGGTAGAAGAGATGTCGATCCGCCTCGATCAGACTGTGGCAGAATTAAAGAAACAATTAAAAACTGTAGTGCAGTTGTCAACAAGCAACATGTTGCTCTTCTATTTGGACCACGAAGCTCCCTTTGGTCCCGAGGAGATGAAATACAACTCACGAGCACTGCATTCTTACGGCATTCGGGATGGCGATAAACTTTATGTAGAGCCCAGGATGAAATAGCCTCTTTTGACCTTGTGCGTGCACGCATGTGTACACACACACAGACCCCCACACACCCACACATATGCATTAAGGAGTTTTTGCAGGGTTTTTATTTCAGCCGGTTGGTTGAGGTTTGGTTATGTTTCTATAGCAGGTAATTTCTTAGCCTGGAGAGCGTGCCCTGATCTGAGAACCATGCCCACCATCCAATGCAGGTGACCTTGAAGTGGCAATTGACTTCAGTGCATGTGTTTCAGTTTGTCCAATACCTTGATGTTTTCATCGATGCTCCGGTATACTCGTGATTTGGCATGAATGGTCAGTTGTTCAAGCTAAAGAATGCTAAGGTCCATAAATTAGGGAGCGCTTTTTTCTTTTTTTTTCTTTTTTTTTTTCTTTTTGAATACAACAGAGAACCCTTTTGCCCAGCTATCTGACTGTGGCGTTAGCTAGCTGAAGTATTTTTTTCTAGCTGGGTGCTGTCTCCTAACTTTTTGTTGTGCTTGAGTTCACTGAAAGGATGTTAAACAGTATTCAGCTTGAATCAGAGCTCAGGTATTCGGTGCATCCTGCATCCTTAATTCCACTGGTTTCTGAGATGGAACCAGATGGGAGAATGAAAGAGACCCTATTAGAAAGAAAAGATTTCTTTTCAAAATTCACTGTCTGTATCTGCACTGTCCCACTCTGATTTTTGATTAAAAAGGCTTGGTTTCTGTGCCCATCGAACACAGTGTCTGCAGCATGTAACACTGAAAATCTGGAGGCAAAGGTAGTTTGACCATGTAAGTTATGAAGGAAATTTTGGAAGGTGGTGGATGGGCCTTGCATCAGGTGGGGTTTGAGGGTAAGAGCACAGAATTGTACTGAAGAATATATTCTCCCCTTTGGCTATTGGAACATCCTTGCAATGCTGAAAAGATCAAAGTTGCTTATAACTGTAAGCACTTAGCATTGTGACGGTTTGTACTGAAAGCAGAACGGCTAAAATTGCTCTCCTGGGGAGAGAGTAAGCCTAAAGCGGGAGTTTTTGTATGTTGCTGTTGCACCAGAATTGAAATTTAGCACCTTCCCCAGCCCCTGACTGTGGGGTCCCTGCTTAGGGTCTGAACTAGCAGAAGGTTTTGACTCAGATCAGTTTATAGAAGGCGAGTAAATGAGCAACTTTACTCGCGTTTATTGTAAAGCAGTTTTTCATCCTCAACATCACCTTCCCCCCACGTGCACCTTGTAGGCATTGTGTGCTGCTGCTTAAATTAGCCTCTTTTTTCTACTTCAGAGCAGATTCCCTTTACCTGTGCTGTAAGACCCTCATTCCTTTCTCTCTCTTGTAAATCAGACAGCCATTTCACTTGACTGTGTCCTGCCTTGTTCCTCTGTCACCCTGGCAAGCTGAAAACTTTTCGGATTACTTAGTTATAAGCAACTGCATAAAAGGTTTTTCAAGCTGTGCAGTGAGGGCTCTAGTTACACATGAACTTCTGACCTTAATTTTTAAGCGTTCTCAATCCCTATGTGCACTTTCTTTCCCATGATGCTCTTGTTCAAGTCACTGAGCTCCTTTATATTCTTGGAGGTGTGTATTTCTCTTCGTATTTTACCTAGACTGTGGGGTGGGGTAGGACGGGGAGGGTAAGAAGTACTGTCTCATAATCTTCAGGTTCAGGATGTAGGATCCATTCAGAGGAGACTCATTCGGCATCTAAGGTAATGATAAAAATGGGAGGATTTAAGACAAGTTAATTATTTGTGCCTCATCCCCCTGCCAAAAAATGTACATCTCGTGGCGTTACTGAGATGAGCAATACAAAATAGACCAAGACTTGCTGTTTGTAACAGAGAATCCACAGTTCGTGGCTGTGGGACCGTGGTACCCATAACGGAACAATGGGGCGATGGTGGCAGTGTAACATAAGATGATGCTTTTATAAGCTAGAGCTTTACTGAAGATGTATTTTCCATTTGGGTAGTGAAAGGCATTTGCTGCCTTATAGTGGAACTCTAAAGCCAACACTTATGTATGATATATACATACGTACGCATAGGAAAAGTTGTGTTTAATAAGATATTTTGTTATAAAGCAAAGTTTTATGAAGATATGGTTGTTTAATATTAGAAGCCTATTTCTCCCGTTGACCTCCTGTTTAAGTACATTATCCGTCAGTCGGATTGTTAGAGGTAAGCGACTGATGCAGACACAGAGAAATATCTGATCTAATTCTATAGAGCGGTATTTGCCTATGTGGGTATATTTATGGCATTGTAACTGGTATTAATGAGATGCTGTAATTATTGACCAACTTTTTCAGCACAATTAAATGTCTCTGTTTCAGAGAAGGAAATAAACAAGGTCAATTAAAGAATTTAATGGGATTTTAAAGAAGAACCAAATATGTGCTTGTAAGTTTGTTTGCCTGCAAAAAGTTATGCTTATTTGCACACAGAATGACGGTGTCACCGTGCTGGCTCTGAACTATATGTAAATAATGGTTTTATTTACGGTGGACCTGGTGGGAAATTGAAAATGGAAAAGGAGAACACCTTCTGGCATACAAGGTTGACACGCACTGCATAGCCACTGGAGATTTGACGTGAACATCTAAACCGGATCCCCTGGTCTGTCCAGGTCCGCAAAAGTCACAGTACAAATGTTGTAGTTGTGCCGCTTCGTGAGGGGAAGGTTATTTCTGGCCAGTGTCGTAAAGCCGTTCACCTTCTGTGCAGCCAGCAGAGCACGTGTTGGGCGAAAACCAAAAATACCGGTTGGCTTCCGAGGAGAAAAAGGCATGCCCCAAACCCAGAGCGGTTCACACGTCCAGATGCTTGACCTTTGACAGTAGGTGGAGTGATGTGCCACAAACGCGGCAGGATGTTCCAAATCGAATCGCTTTTCGTGTGTTATAGCTTTTGGAAAAGGGTCGTGAATCTGTGCCATGTTACCACGTCATATGGGACTGTGTCTTGGGGAGAGGGGTCTGAACAAGATAGCTTTTTTTTGCAGAACGTGGGTTGTGAGAATTTGGGAGGGCTCTGAGACGGCAGAAGTTTGAGTTAAATCTATTCAATGTCATAAGGGTCTGTGTCCTCGCTTGGTCGACATACCCGCTTTAGCAAAAGGTCCCTAGTTCTGTCATGTTCTTTAAAGAAGAGAAAATACAGACTTGCAAGCTTCTCTAGCTTTTGTGTCCTTTTATCCCGAGCACTACTTTTGTTGAGAACCGTTTTGTTGTTCATGCTAGTTCATGCATAAAAGTCTGCCACAGGCAGTTTATGCAGTGGAAAAAGCACCTGCTTCACAAGAAATTAGGTGACAGCTATATACCAAAGTATCACACGGCTCTCTGTATGGAGATCAGATGCTGTGCCGTTGTGTTTTTGGATGTGTTCCTATTGAATATCTATGTTTTGACCAGATGTTACAACTGGATCGCTTAACCAGCTATGTTATGAATATGTATAGCGTGGCGACTGTCGGTCCTCTGCTCCCTTGGTGTGTTTGGTAACTACTTTTACTGGGAGTTGCATACATACTGGTGGTAGATGATACAACGTAGTCTACGGTGGCTTGGGACACCTCAAAGGAACCGTGCTTAATCATGCTCCTTGCCTCTGGGGAGGGGGTCTTGTTTTGCCCTTGCCTCCTCTGGTCTGTAATCCTAAAAATGCGACGCGTTGGCTCTGCCTCTGTCAGTTGCCATTTTTGCTTGTAAATGAGATTCTTTAGGTTCTGTTCGTGTACAGATTTGAAAATGCAAACGATCTGCTGAAAGCAGCCCAGAGGCTAAAATATGTATTCCTGGCAGCTGTGCCACCCTCATTTGATTGTGGCGCTTTGCGTAGGCATTAGAGGAGACGTCTTCCCCAGAGCAACGGTAGAAGGGGCTTTCGCCATCTCAGGCCTTTGTCTCTGTGATTGCTTTTCTGCAGTTACTGGAAACTTCAAATATGATTTAAACATGAAGTTCTATTCTTGCACTCTATTAATTATACATCCATATGTAATTTTAAAGAAAAAGGAAAAGCTGTTAAGTCCATCTCTCTTTTTATTCTGGTTTCTCTCATGGGGAATATACTTCCCACAATTTGCCTTTGGTTTGCTTGCAGACTTAGCAGTGGAATTCAGGCCAATTTAGGTAATCGGTTTGGATCAGTTCAATAAACTTATTTAAATTTTTGCACAAAAAAAAGTTTCTGGACTTTTGTGAGCACTTTCCTTGTTTCTTCAAGCAAAACTTTTCCCTCCTCCTCACCCGCACGTTTATGCACACCTTTGGCAGAGTTAAACCTGCCAAGAATTGTTTTTGTTCTCCTAACAAAGAGAGATGTCAGCCAGTTGTCATGTCAGTTGTCTGCCCTACGAGCTAAGGCTCAGTCACCTTACTTGTGAGCAATCCCGCTTGTTGAAAGCGACGCTGAGCGCTTTGGAAATAGTAACAAAGCATTTTGTCTCCAAACCATGTCATTTTGCTTTACATGGTAAGGTCCTAATGCTTGAATGTCTGTTCCTCTTCTGAACTGTGTCTTTCAGTGGAGGTGATAAATGTCCGCTTCCAGGCCAGGAGCGAAGCACGAGCTCTGTCTCCGTTCCTTGCTGCCTGTGCGCAGTAGTGGGACTAGCCTCACGGTTGCCATGAGCTTTCACCCTCCTGGAAAGACTCAGTAAGCTTCCAGCTCAGTTGCTTATGGGGAGGGCGGTATGGCCCACCAAAGCATTTAGTTGTGGGTTTAGCAGCTAGGAGGGGAGACTCAGGAAAGCAAAGGCTACTTTACTGGTTTCCTGACAGCACTTCATGATGCAGAGAGCATGCCTGGGGCTTCCTATGGAGCAAGGTAAGGTACCTGCTGTAGGAAAGCAGCCAGCTGGGAGCAGTCGGGGCGGGGGGGGGGGTTACCGTGCCAGCCTGCACTGGACTACCAGGGAGAGGCTGGAGGAAGGAGGAGGTGCCCTCCCAGCAGGAACACGGCTGCTGGGGAAAGCCCTTTTGCATCTTCCTTGGGCTAAGCTGAGCCCCTGAGATGGGAATTCAGCAAAACTAATCCCGCCTGTGGTTGCTCTGCCTTTTGCCTGCCTGGCCGAGGACAAGCAGCCGGACCCCCACCTTATCTCGTCTCTTAATGCTTGTTTTTTCTCAAAGTCTGACACAGGAAGGAAGTGGGCTGCTAAAGCAATGGTGGTTTGTTGGGCTCCGATGCACTACTCAGCACTGCGTGAAAGGAGCATCCCCTGCCAAAAGAAAATAGCATAGAAAACAAAGTCTTCCCCAAGGGGACAGTGAAGCCTAATCAAACTGATCAAAGAAATTGGTGTACACTTGCCTAGGACAAAAAGGACCTGAATGTTAAACTACCAAAGTAGCAGAAGGAAACCTGTTTTCACAGGTTTTCTCTCTCACACAAAGCAATCTGAGAAGAATCAATTTATTTTCTTTCTGCTGGTAACTTTTAAAATTTGTATGGGAGCGAAAAGGAAGAGTTACGGTGTGTGGAGTGGCAGGGGGGGCGCCCGGGTATATTCTTTCCCCCCTTTTCTAGCCAGTATTTTAAAATCCTGCTGCCCTCCTAAATTAACTGTTGGTTTAGAAAAGAAAAAAACCAATAAAGCTTCCTGGGGCATGGCCATGTTTGGAGGATAAAGGCAAAGCAAACTTTGGCATCTGCCGTGGAAGCAGTATACTGTTCTGTGCCATGCTATGCTAAAAGACACTGTTGGAGATAAAGTAAGACACCTTGGAGTCCTGCTCCTTTATGGTGAGGGTCCTTTTAATTTTGTATGCCGTTAAACATGGAAAAAAGCTGAACTCAAGCTGCTCAACATCTTCAGAGCAGTCTGGCTCATCAGGATTTTAGAGGTTCCCCCCGCCATTTATTTTCCTGTCCCCTCTTTTTTTCTGTCAAAGGACAGGACGCAGGTCATGGATGTATATGGGAGAAAAGAAGGAATACGTAACTCCTAGCAGTGAAAATAGTTAATAAAAGGCCCCCATAAAAATGTCAAGAGAAAATCATTATTTTTCTAAGTTTGTACCACATGTCTTTGTGCATGAAAACATGACAATTTTCCCACCAATCAACGCTGAAGCTGGAGCACCACCTATTTAGATTGAACCTTAATGGAGGTCTCAAAAGCCAGTTTTACTACTGGGGTTGATTCCATCCTTCACGCTTCAATCACTTCTCTGTCTCTCTCGTTCTCTCTCATATGACATTGATGTGAACTGAATTAAAGCCATAGAGGTCTCGTAGGGTACAGATCTGGCTCTGGTGAAGAGCTTTGGTTTCTGTAATACAGTTTAGCGCTTGCATCCTGCAGCTGTTTCGGCAGATACTAACTTCAGGACTAGCGGTGGTCCCACACTAAGTCAGCGAGGGCGTGTGAGAGCCTGGAATTAAGCACAGGTGGAAATATGTGCAAAGCGAGTTGCCAGCAACTTAGGTCCCAAGAAAAATAAGCACCCCTGTTGTTTCTTCAGCTCAGATTGTCACGTGCCATGTGCACGGAGGGCCAGGATGTCCTTGCTCAGTCCTGCAAACATGTAATTGCATGCTCACGTCACTATTCGTAGTTGCATTAATTTTAGCATAGGACGAGAGGTGGGCATGAGAAAAAAACAGACATGCCAGGAACTCGCAAGTGGGCTGCAGCAAGTGGCTCAGCAAACGGAGCGCTGAGCATCAGAGCTTCTATGTGCTGCCTTCAATTAAGTGTGAGCAGCGCTGTTTTCATGTGGTTAAGCTGCAGCTCGGACAGCCTGCACCCGTTCAAACGTATGGCTTGTTGGCCATAAGTCCTCACTCAGGTGCAGCCTCAGCCTTTGGTTTTGTCCCCTGAGGTAGCTGTGGACCTCACATACGCTCCAGGTGTTGGCCGCTGCTATGAGAGGTGGAGGCAAGGGGTGACGGAGTTCGTGTTTTCCCCTGGTGTAAACTGCAGGTTGTACGTGTGAAAACAGAGCCTAATATTCACAGTAGTCTCTGCTTAAAGTTCCTTTCGAGCTTGATTAAAAATGCAAGGCGGTCCTCTGAGAGGGTGGGAACAGGAATAGGAGTAAAAGCTTCTCCAGAAGATGTGGAGAGAATGTGCTTTACGGAAAAAGTTTTTTTTCTTGTACCTGTAGAAGCAGAACTAACTTGATTTACAGAAACGAAAACAAGGTTTTGATGGAAAATTAAGTTCATTGAAATTTCGTGGCACTAACTTTGTACTGCGCTTTAAGCCTAGCACTGTTTAATGCTAATTCTGTAACACTATATTGATGCCTTTTTTTTTTTTTTTTTGCTTACACAAAGGAGGAAGGGGCTCAATTCTTCCGAGGGTTTTTTTTTTTTCCCTTTCAGTGAAAAGTGATTCTGAGCAGAACAGCCACAAACCCAGCTCTGACTAGCTGACATTTTCATCTAAATCTACTTGAAGGGTGAGCTTTTTGGGAAGAAAGAAGCCTCTCTACCTCTCCAGGCCAGAATCTCATCTTTAGATTAATTTGCTGATTATCAATAGAGGCAAAAATTGTGATTGCAGCTCAACACTACTGCAGCCCTAAAGCAACCCTGAAGAAAACGGACTTTTCGATTGCAAGAGCAAGGGGAGTGAGACATCGGTTTAGTCATCAGCAATAATTGGCGAAAGAGCACCGAAATGCATTCTCCATTGACATAATTTTTCCCCCTCTTCTACCAAGACTGGTTTAAAATTTCCGATTTAATTTCTTCTCTAGTCTACAAAACAGGTTGGTAAATTTTTTCTCCCCCATACTGGCAAAAATGTGCTTTTGAAAGTGGTACGCTAAGTAGTGTGTTCACTATTTTCTGTCGTGTTTCCCAAGCGATGCCTTTCTTGGTCTTGTTCTCGGACCGCCGTATTCTTCTCTAGTCATTGTATGCCTGTTCTCTGCTAATGAAGCTACAGGGACTGAGATTTTATGACCTATATAAAATTCTATCGGCTTTTCAAGATAAAGAATGTGGTAAAGCTCTTCCACGGTGAAACGAATTTTTCTCACCCTAGAGCAAGTTAGCTGAAAGCAGATTTTTGCCAGCCTGATGGCAACTGGCGCATGGTGAAGCACTGAAACACTGTGGAACTTGCCTTCCACCGTGTTTTGCACTTTCCAAGCTCCCATTAATCGGACTCAAGTGTAAGTGATGCAGGAGAGATGACGTAACGTTTCTCGCTGTAGGACTATGTTATATGTGTTAAGTAGTTGGATCTGTTGCTGTTCCTAGACTATAGAAATAGATCCACAGAGAGAGACAGTATGAAGAGATGCAGTGTTTTGTAGCAGTTGTGTCCACACAATTGAAATTCATGTGATGCCTAAAGATTATTTGATACGGAGGTAGAAATGGAAACGAAGGCTATACATAACATGCAGTTATAATTCGTGTCTGAAGCTGATCCTGCAATTTTCATTCATATGCATGCGCATGGGGAGGACGTGATAGCTTTCTATTAGCTCTGCATGAGCCCTGCCTATGTGTAATGAACGGGAGTGATGGGAGAGGAATTCATAGCAGGTATTTTAACAATATTTCCTATCTGATTAATAATGAGTAACAAATTGTATCAGGCGCAAAAGGAATTCAGATGGGTGCAGGTTTTCTTCTTCGTGTGCCCAGTCTCATTTTTGCTTCTCTGTCATTAACTTCTGTACAGCGAGGAAATTGCCCAGCTGTGTAAATGTTTGTGCACCTTTCACGCTAGTCACAAACGTTAAGTGATCGTTGTGTTACCAGCCACTGCGAAGGATTAGTTAAAGAAACATTTGAGGCCTCTTAATGATGAAAGTACACTGCAGCTTAGAATCGGCTTCATTTTTGGAACAAGGTGAAGCTATTTGTCTGGAAGTCGGGCAGAAGTACCCTCATGCTAGGCAGATCAGGCAGGAATTGTTTTTGAACTGTTAGGAGAATTGGAAACCTACTGAGAGACTGGGCTATTTACAAATTCCAGTCTCTGTGTGAAATTAGACCCTCGTCTGTTATGGTAAGGGCTTGCTTTGACAATGCCTGCAGGGCAACGTGCTTTTATCACCAGAGAGCTCTCATTACGCCACTTAATGAAGGAGGCATTTTAGGCCTGCTTCGCGGGTGAGGGATCTCCATCCCCAAAATGTCCACCCATTAGGAGCAAGCAGGCAACTTCAGGAAGTGATTGCACTAGATGTCACCTGGGGTTTGCTGGAGGATGTACTTTCCCATTGATGTGATGTGTGTCTGGGTTTCTCTCTTTCCTTTAGGATGGACAACCGATTGCTGCTTAGAACCTGGGTGGCCCTTTCAGTCCTAATCGCACGGCACGAAGGTTGGTATCTCTGACTTAGGGCGCTGCGATACTGACACTCTTCCTCTATTATGGGAAAGCGCTCACTTCGGAGCAAGAGTGTGCCCAGGGAGCGCACAAGTACAAAGGGTCTGAAAAAATACACTCATCCCCTTGCTTAGGAGCAAGTACAACACTGAGCTGAATTCAGATTTTCCTTTGGGGCTGGAGGGTCCACGGGCTTTAAGGGTGATTACAAAACACGAAGATTTGTGTGCCTTCATGGGTAAGCACAGGTGCCAGTCTGGAAGAGTGATAGACTGTGTTGCAGGAGATGGACGTCAGCCTGTACAAATGGTCCTCACTTCATTAGAAGCAATGAAGTGACAACAGCTTACGTTAAATGAGGACCTGGCACACTGCTTTCCATAGGAAGCCGAAAAAGCTGACGGGACACAGAGACCACACAAGTTGTTGAGCTTTGTGAGCATTTCATGTATGTATATTGCTGTATGGGCACACAATGGTGCATGCAAGAGGTTGTGATGGTCTTGCCAGTTGCTATGAAATAGGACTTTGACAAATTTCAAGTCTTTGAACCACCAACCGGGCAGACAAACCTATGTCAAGTTAAGGGTAAATTGGGTGAGAGGCAGCAAAATGTCACAGCCCCCAGGGTCTTCTGTAATTGAGTTGTTCTTCGAGCTCCTGCCTAGGAAACGTTGGCAGCATTGACTGTAGAGCTGTCCGACACCAGGTCGGGATGTGCCCCTCTGGACTGCAACCTAGACGGGGATGTGTCTTGGGGAGATGGCCCACGGTGGCCACGTTTCTCTCAGTGCATTTTGTTTGTGAGGATGAAGTTACCTAACTGGGCTGGACGATGCCCTGAGGAATCTGATCGGACTGTGCAGTCAGCCCCGCTTGGAGCAGGAGGGGAGGCCAGGTCGCCTCTGGAGACCCTTCCAAGCTCCATTTTTCTATGATGTTGAAAAGCACAGGAACATCTCCCTAGTCTCATGGGGTAATCTTTGTTAGGTTTTACTCCAGAGGGAGGCATATTGAGTTGATACAGACTGGAAAAGCACCTTTAGTTTAGTAACGCAGTGTATTTCCACTGTGTGGTTGATACTAGATATGCGGCTGACTCGAGGACCTCTAGCCAGGGAGCTTAGAGCTTGGGAGATGGGAAATCTTTAAGCATTTTCCCTGGTCAGTTCATTTAAAAGCTGTGACTCTCTCTCCTCTCTTGTAAAATGAGGATGGCAGTCCACCCATGAGAAATGCCATCAATGGTAAAAATCATTGTTGGTGGGGGCTGGCGAGGTGCTCGGGCAGATGAAGCAATGCATGCAAAGTTATAGCAGTATCACACTAGTAACGGTTAAGAAGCTAACACTGAGAAGTTTTTGCTGAACTTTACATCTAAAAAAGAGGTTAAATCTATGTCTCGTAGCTATGCCTCAGCCTGTAATAATCTGTCAGTTGCATAACAGCTGTGAAATGACTTGTTTTACTACCTGGCAGCAAGGAGCGTTGCCACGGTCCTTGAGAGCCTCCTGTGAAAGCAGGCTGGCAGCTCGGCGCCACCACACACCGCCGAACTTTACGTCTGGCAGGGAACTCAGGCCACACGCCTGTATCTTGGGGTTTCCAAACCCACGTAGGGTTTAGGCCAGATTTCCCTTTTTTCCCTTCTCCCCAAGGAAAGTCTGACCAGTTGAACATGCTGCAAAGGGTCAGCTCACTACCGTCCCTATTACAAGGCAGTTTCTAGCAGGGGGGAGGCTTAAACCTTACCAGAACAGAACACCTTCCCCTTCAGGGAATAGTAAGACACCCATGTGCGTCTTTAAAAGCTGGACTCGGAGCAAGTTCTCTGTAGCTAGAGGCCTCTGCAAACCGCTGGTTAGGACCCAGAAAATAAAAGCATGTCCTGAATTGAGCTAAACAGAGCCCGGATTGTTCCGAGTCCAGTCGCTCACGTCACCTTCTATTGAATATCGTGAGGACAGTACGTTTCTTTTCTACATCAAAGAGGAGAGGAGGGGGAGGAAAACCAAACTAAGCCCCCGCTTCCTCTGTGAGGAGTCACGCGGATAGGAAACCAAAAAAATGGGGAACTGAACGATAGCAGAGATCCGTCAGGAGCCAGCATGGGAAAGGGCATCCGCCCTAGGGACATGTCTGTATGCCTGTGAGCAGAGCTGATTGGAAAACAGATTTTAGTCTTGTAGAAAATGACAGGTTTGTATTGAAACATGTCAAAACCTTCTAAAATATTTTTAGGAGAGGCAAGTACGTGCACCAACAGTACCTCTTAGCAGGAAACCTAACTTTGTCAGGAAACTTTGGAACGTTCATGACACCTTAAGCTTTAACCCAGCAATGGGAGTCCTCGGGGGACTGAGCGGGGTGGGCTCGGCTGCTGCTGGGGAGAGCGCTCCAGGGCGGCCAACGGCTTGAGGGAGCGCGGCTCTGAGCACAGGAGGAGGCAGTGACCCTTCCCCAGACCCCTGAGCACCTCTTGGTCTGTCCTGGCACCTTCAGTGAATCCCCAGGGTACAGCAGAGCTGTTCTCCCTGCTGTACAGATTGAAAGGTGGAGATCAAAGCTTCGGCACAGGCAATCCCAGGGCCTGGGTCGTGCTCCCTCTGAAGTCAGGACTGGTCCTGGCATTGTCATTAAGGGCTCTGTCCTCTCCTTTCAGCTCACACCATGGCGAGTCTGTATCCGTTCTGGCAGAATGACACGAAAACGCCCAAAGTTGATGATGGAAGCTCTCCTGAGATTAAGCTCTCTGTCCCGTTCATCTTTTTTGGAGCCCCGTACAGAACCATTTATGTAAGTGGAGAAGTAGCTTTGCTGCAGACTTTCCTTTTATTCTTTTTTCCTGCCATTAGCAGCCGCATTTTAAACACGCTCTCCCCATCGTCAAGAATTGGAAGATTTATTAGTACCTACCTGACAAGTTCTTAGATTTCATGAACTGATAGGTTTTATGATTAAGAAAGTCAAAGGTATATTTAATGGGCTAATGTTCATGGGGAAGGAATATAAAAGGCAATAAATTGTCTTTGTAGGTGATTAAATGGTGCAGCAAAGCTAAGGCCTTGACACAAGGAACATTATTCCTGTTACATGACAAGAAACAAGAACACGCAGAGACCCGCAAGGAAAAAAAAAAAAGGCAATGATTTGGACCTTCATAATGATTTGGACCTTCATTTGGGTGCCCAAGAAAATTGTGGACTGCTGCCGTTTTCAAACGAGATCGCAGCAAAAGCCTGGCGAGGGGAAAGCCATGCCTTCCAGGCTATACTAAAAGAGGATTAATGAGAGCGCATAAAAACAGTACATTAGACATTGGCCTAAGTCAGCATGACCATAATCCCGATCCAAAGTTTGTCCACGTTTTGTGGGAGCTAATCTCTGTGTGTATAACCAGTCAAAGTGAAAAGCAGGCCATAAACCTGTGAGCCCAGCTATCAGAAGAGAGGTAAAGATACCTTTGCTTCCCGAACCCAGCCTGCCTGGCCGCACTGGCCTCCAGCGGTAGGATGAAGCTGAATCTCTGCCAAGGTGGCCAGGCCTTCTTGCAGGCTGTCATTATTATAAGGCAGTTTCTGTCAGGAGTCACTCACCCTGCATATTCTGCCAAATTGGCAACCCTCTGCCGGCTGCTAAGATTTGGTCAAATGCAAGCTACTCTCTTTCTGCAGGTCAACAACAATGGTGTGATCTCCTTCAACGTGCTAGTGAGCCAGTTCACCCCGGAAGCCTTCCCCCTCTCGGACGGCCGAGCCTTCCTTGCTCCGTTTTGGGCAGATGTGCACAACGGGATCCGAGGAGAGATCTACTACAGGGAGAGCACAGACCCCGAGCTGCTGAAGAGAGCCTCCAAAGACATCCGCAAGTACTTCAAAGACATGTCCTCTTTCTCCGCCATCTGGATCTTCACCGCCACCTGGGAGGAAGTCACTTTCTACGGAGGGAGCAGCACGACTCCAGTAAGGGCAAATGGTTATGCTTCTTGGCTGATCGTGTTTGATGTTTGAGTCTATGGCTGTAAATGTATTTAGTAAAGGAAGAACTGGCAAACGAACAGGAGGCTAATGAGTCAGGAACTAGGCTAGAAACATGAGGTTTGCTTCTCTGGCAATGGTTTTGCGTGGAAATCTGAGCGAGTCATTTCACCTTCCTACTCTTCAGTTGCCCTTCCAGCAGATGAGCATACCAGTCCTCTCCCATGGTAGACCCTAAGATCCTTGCCATAGGCTGCAAGAGCTCCAGGATAAGCATCCTTTCTTAGGTGTTTGTATGTTGCACGCCATAACAAGGCTCCTGTATTGGGTAGGAGTTTTTAGTTCGATCACGTTCTCAATAATTTCTGTTAGATACAAATGCAGATTTCCATTTTCATTTGTGCCTTGCTGCACGACCTTTGCTTCGCCTTGGTTTCCATTTTGATAAAAGAGAGCTATTTTTGTGTAGGGCTACAGAGACCTTGGAAGAGCCAAATTTTATTAATGGAATATTAGCTCAGGGGCTTCTCCGTAAATAGGAAAGGGGAGACTGATGCCCTCTGTCATGGCGTAAATCACTCGACGTTCTCACTGCTAACCTCCAGTCAGTTTCTCAAGCGTGATTCAGTTTAAAGGCAACTCATTATGGCAGTAATGTAGCCTGGGTGTTGGGCAAGAAACAGAAGTACCCTTTAGCAGGGAGCCAAGTACCAAAAGGAGCCGTACTGTGTATGTGGCATTTGAGCATGCGCATGCGTATGCGTGCTTGGGGCTGAAAGGCTTTGTGTGTACACGTATAGCAGATGCTTTTAGAGACTCTGAAGTGGCAAGTGGTGCCCAGGAATTGAGCAGAAAGTACCAAACTGCACACAGACTTGCATCGATCCTGCAAAGGGACTTGAAGGCAGCTCTGCTGACCCCAGAGCTGGATCAGGGCACAAGAGTGTACGTTTAGCGGGGCAGGGATAAACCTGACTGGCACTTAGCCCTGGGGAGAGGCAGCAGGGCCTTCTCATATTGGGAAAAGATAGGCACGCAGCAGCAGGGTGATTGAAACAAATGGGCTGCGGAGGTGGAAGTGGAAGGCTTCCTTTGTCTCTCTTATTATAATCTTCTACTTGGTGTGCTGTTCCCCTCTTCAGTTGCTGGATGAATTTTATAATTCTCCCTTCTCTCCCCGCTACTCAAGACTACCTAGGACACAATACAAGTCTGATTATTTTTGCACGCCTAGCCCAACTTCCAAGGCCATGGCAGCTTCGAAACGAAACTTAGCTCGTTACTTTCTCCTTGCCTCCATGAGGAGGGAGGGCTGCTCCTGCAGAAAATGCCCAAGTTCAGGAAGCTGCAATAAGTTAATTTTTGGCTGTAATCCATTCTCTGAGGAGTCTGGGGCAGGAAAGAGAAAATGGGAGCTTTAATTTGTATTTATTTGGCAAAAATAGCCTTTTCCTTTCAGAACATGATGGCTTTTTTCATGGCTGAAGCTGAAATGCTTTCTTGACAGCACTAACCCAAGAGGGTGGTGAGGGCATCTCATAAAAAAGGGTTTGAACAGCTGCTCTGAAATCCTATGCGGATGCTTAAATAGAAAGGGGAAAAGCAAAGGGAATACTGACAGCATTTTTGCACTGATAGCTGCTGACCTGTCTGCATTGGAAGACCAATAGAGACTGACTAGAAAGTCACACTAGCGATTTGGCTGCAGTAGCTCTTTGCATTTCCATAAATGCAAGAGTCTGATCTCAGAGGACAGGGATGGCAGTGGCATACGCGATCTTCTTCTGGGCAGGAAGCACTTTTTAATTTCTGGTTAATACGTGAGCTGTGACAACAGCTGACATCGCAAGATCCGTGCCGTACCGCTCACCTGTTGCCGGTAGGGTCGACCCAGAAGACGGGGGCGAGGGGGGGGGGTGCAGATAGCGTGTGAGTGACACACACTATTGCTTGGGGAACGGGTTTTTCAGGATGAGTGTGTAAACTGTGAGTGCCGAGTTGGCTGCTTCTGTCTTGAGGAGTTGGCTCTGCTAGAGAGTTCTGCTCTTTTCCATTTGTTAGAGAGGCTTCAGATTTAATGCTTTTTTTTTTCCAGTCCTAGCAAAGCTCACTGAAAAAAATACATATATAGATATATATATATATATTTGCAGACACTGAGCAAGGCAGAGATTTGTGTATTGCCTGAAGAATTACATTTGCAACACAATGCTATTAATTTTGTTACAGAGCAGCCTTCCCGTTCAATAGCCACCACGGCTCCCAGTTGGCACGCGGAATAGCACAATGCAACTTAAGGAAGAAATTCTTCGCAATGCAGAAAAGCTGCAGAAAATTCTTTGTTTCTAATTTGAATAGCAATTTTGCAAATGTGGCATCGTGGATGCTGCACTTGCTGTCTCTTGGTGACTCCAGGTCAAATGGGTTCAGTTTCCAAAGACCTTTTTGCACAGCTAGGCTTGCCAACTCACTTCTGACTTGTGAGTGTCCAACTGGGAAATCTATGTGGTTCACATAATCACTCCTAATGAAGACTGTCGGCCAATCTGGAAGCCCATGATGCTGGGTCAGCTCCTATTAACCTCATGGATGCACCTGACCAGCATGGTGTTTGTTCCCCTTGATAGCCTCACTGTGTTTGTTGTAGTCTTGGGATATGTTGGGGCCCCGTGCATGCTGGGCACCACATGTGCTGTACATGCTCAGAGTAACGCATGGTCCCTGCTGTGGAGAAATTGCAATCCTACAGGCAGGACAAAAAGGCGATGGGAGAAAGGACACACTGACGTTTCCCCAAGTTGCTGTGGCTTGTTTGTTTG